AAGTTCACTGGGTGGCGTGGCATACGGGCCATGCCGAAGCTCGCCAAGCCCATCTATACATCGACAGTGTATATTCTGTCCCCGTATAATGCCTTCTTTTGTACTCAGAAAAGTCTTCGGTCACTGCATTGGTGGCAGCGAAAAGGTAACTCAATCTTAAAGAGCAAATATCATGAGTCGTACTGTTGAGTGATAAGCCTTAGCTTGACAGAAGAAGTGCATTTGCTGCAAATGGAAATATATGTGACAATCCCTTCCAGAAGATTTGAAAATGACGACTACTATCGGCAGCTACTCCAGTGCCGTGTTCTGAAGGAATTCCATTAACAACTGAAGTGACATAAGCAGTGAACTAGCTTGAAAAATTTGTTACAGAGCTGCCTGCCGTACCTGGAGAAAGATATCATTTATTGTTAAATTGCGATGCCTTCTCTATCTCCCCACTACCTGGATTGAACCCAGATAGATATAACTGGACAGCACCAAAGTGAGAACGAGGTGTAATAGGAGCGAAACTACTTTGAATCCATTCTTTCATTAAATGCCAAGATTGCCAGCGCATTCGCCTTTCCAAATTCCAATCCTAAACGGAAAGAAACTCCAGATGCAGTGGTATTTCCAAGAAAGAACAGTGGCGTTATAGTCAATTGTCGCCTTGGTTGCATGGAGATTCAAAGACTGATGCAGTTGGATGGTGGATGTTTACCCTACAGCGCCGACTGCATTGTGATAGCCCATGTAGGGGATTGGCTAAGAGGAGCAATAGTTACGACGCTTAAAAGAGGGTAGGGGCTAAGGCTTCCTTCGTCTTCATGAAAATCTCGGGGCTTTAAACTAGCAATGGTAATGAAGATGATACACCCATAGATAGAACTTTAAAAGGCATTTATTTCCACATAGATAAAAATAAGCTACTGGTTTATTCTTTTCTTTTCCAATGGCATGAGTTGTAAAGCTCCTGTGCTGCCGTCACTTTGATTGTCTAGACTACTAAAGTCGTCCGCCTTGACCACGCAGACGATTGGTCATCCACTATGGCGTCAGTGGGTGTCCAAATGTCGCACCAAGTACATTCAGTATGCAAACTTCACCAGCTTTGAGTCAGACGTTTGAAGAGTCGGTGGCGAAGGCTCTCATGTCAGCACGACTCAGATCTTAGGGCAAGGGAAGGAATCTGGGCGGGAGGAAAGAGTAGGCCGAGTGTAAATATTTTCACTTTGTCATTCTGATGCGTCATCAATTTCTAAGTGCTACGACTGTCACTCCATCACAAATAAAAAGTAGTTTTCATTTGCTAAGACTTTTTCTCCATTTGTTATTTCAAGCCTCCTATTTTGGAACGCCAGAGGAGGAGGAGGGGGAGGAGGAGGATATGTTTACAGTAGACTCATTCGCAATGGATGTAAATTTATCCTTTCGCCTTATATTCCCAAATAATGCCAAAACTCCTCCTTTATTGCACCAAAACACGATGCCTTTGCATGCTGGTGTACTAAGGAGTAGTCAAGTAAGTTCATAAAACCCCAAGAAGGAAATAATAACACCTTTTATCCTGTGCTGGTCTTGCGTGCTCCGGTTCTATCCATTACAAAATTATCGGTGCCACGATGCAAATGTTTAGTAGGTGCATCATAGCAATGAAAATGTGTCATCAATTCCCACATAAACTTCCAAAGAGCTGTGCAAGAAGTTGTAAATCCTCACAACGAGTGTTTGTGGACTTCGAGACTTGTTTCGCCCACCACCGCCTCTATATTTACCAAAGTTTAACTTTATTTAGCCCTTTACCAAAAAAAAACAACTGATTGTGACTCAACCTAATGGAGGAGGGATCCAAAACGGAGGAACAAAAATATTTACCCCAAGTTTAGGACATCAGCGACGTTCTAGCCTAATCCACCCCTATTCCCCACCATCACTGCCCCCAAAATGGAAATTAGAGGACAATAAAATTATTTTATGCCCATGGGACCGAGGGTCACTTATGAAATAGTATACTGCTTGAGTAAACAAACTAAAGGGCAATCAGGATAAAGCAGAACTTTGGGCCTATAAAGTAGTACAAAACGCATTTCTCCTCTAGCATGATCTCCTGCTACACTTGTAAAGCTTTAATGAAAAAATATTTATCAGCTTTTGAAAATGATTTAGAACTGTGGAGGAAATTATCGCGTTAATTTTAGGACAGTAAGAAAGGAACGATTTATTCACCCACCGACTGCCTAAACTGTGGACGGGAACCGGAACCACCACAACCGGTGGAGCCGTCGGCATGCAAAATTACAACTGCCTTTTAAACAGTCTGTCAGCAATGCCTGCATGCAGGGAAATTAGTGCCGACTAGTGGCAACAAGACAGGCACACCTAGAAATTAACAACACAGCATCAAAGTAGCAAATACAAAGTCCTCATTTGACCTGAACCCTCTTTGTACAAGCTTGTAACGTTTGTGGATGTCAAAAGCCTACCAACAACCAATTAATCTGCCAAAAAGGGCGGAAATCAGATATAAAATTGGTTAAAAGGTTTTTTTGCTGTTACAAATTATCCAAAGGTGGTGGGTTTGTATTCTGATCCCATCGACCAGATGGAGGAGAGGGGCAATCAGCTTCGCGATGGAATTTGCCATTGCTCGCGAACCAACGATTAATTAAAGCTTAACCGAGCTGTCGAAGGAGTGCCATCTATTACCAGGCGAAAACCCACCAAAGTTAAATTGGGGTGGCGGAGTTGGCAAAAATACCATGCCTCCTCCCTTTACTGGGCAATAAATCAGTCTATCCATAAGTGAGCTTACACCCGTGGCATGGCTTTCGTGCAGCAGTACAAAGAATTTGGTTACCACAAAAGCCGGTTTAACACCATCGGCATTAATAAGGGACATTTCAAGTATCTACGGATTTAGAAGGTAAGTCTAGAGCGATGATTGTAGGGTCCCGCTGATTTCATTCTTAATTAGGGAGGGAGGAGGACAAATTGTAGCAAGAAAATAATCACGCACCCCCGGGATGTAATGAAACGCTTTTGCCCCAGTGATGAGTTTTCCATTAGCCAATGAAATGGCCTCATAAATTGTACCCTTAAACCAAATTTTTATAGCCTATAGAAACCATGCTGCAGCCAAATGACCACTTCCTGTTACCCCATAGGTGAATGGGTGAATGTTTGCATCCAAAAGACCAGCAGGCGGAGGTCATCCACTGGGTCCTCTATTTATGCCTAATTTGTTGACTCACCCAGTTTTTCATCGCAAATTTATTTCTACATTCTGATACGTCCTGGTACGGTTTTATTTCTGTCCGCGAAACCCAGTCCTAATGCGGAGGCGAACTCAAAGCTACTACTCTGGGTAGGAAATAAGGAAATACTTCGCTTCCCTATCTTCGCGATTTATCAATTCTTTCCCTACTTTGCCGTAGACACATAAAATAACTACTCGGTGAGTGACGAAGACCACAATCTCAAGTGAAGAAATGGCGCACAGGAGGATGAAAAAAGTGTAAAAAAAATTGTGGATTAGATTCCTCATGTTGTTGCATTAACCAAACAAAACGGAGGTGGCATTACCTAACAAAGGGTAGTGTAGAGATAAAGGAAATGGGTGGTAGGACGGGGATTGTTGTCGAAGCCAAATAAACCATTCCAATGTATCATATTTATGCTACTCCTACTAAATAACGACAACAATGTTCCAAATGAAACAATGGAACTGGGCCAATTTCATATCTACGCAAATGGGACAGTGGTAACGTATGAGGACCATGCAAATCTATCATGGACCTTTAATTTAACCCGTCTACCATTAAGATGGCAAGTAACAGTAGTAAAGTGATATGTCAAAGTGGGAAAATGGATTTATTCAGGCCAAAATTTCTACCATTCAACCATTCAGCTAAAGCATGGAAGAGCTGGTCTCAGATGCTCGATAGACACAACCTGTAGGATAGCGATGAGTTTTTCTGCAAAAGGGGTGAACACGACACGACCTTTTGACCTGATCTAAAGAATTGATCCCTTCTGTTCTGTGGTGGTTTAACTGGAACACTAAATTTTCCAAATTTCAAAGCTCGCCAGATGTTACTTAAAAGATGAACAGGCATTTGAATAGGGCGGTGTAGGGGGCTGAAAAGTGGTCTTCGTTTTCTCTTCCCTTCATTTGTTACCTTCTTTCATCTTGCTCACAAAATTACCCATTTGGCTCGAAATACTTTAGATCTGGTAAAAGTAGGGGCATTGGATTGTTAGCATTTAATTATTTTGAATTCGAAGGTGTGACTGTGGTCCCCGAGGATCGATTAAAGCAGTAAAAGTAATGCGACAATGCCTCGGTAATCTGCAAAACCTCAGTCACACAAAGCGAGGTGGGGAATTAATTAATCGTGAGCGCACAGGACACAGGTTGAAATTTTTGTCTGCAGCTCGTAAAATCGGAGGCCATGGCGCCAGGCCTGCCCAGTGGAGGGAGGAGAGAGGGAAGGGGAGAAGATGGGAAAGGGGGAGGTGTGATCAACCGGTCGTTCATCCTACCCTCCTCCTCCCCCTCGTCCTCCTCTATCAAT